AATGAAAATGCCAAAGGAATAAAATTAAAACAATATATAATGCTCCATGGAGCTCTGAATACCTATGATTCTCCAAAACAAAAAAGGAAAATAGCAACATTAATACGGTTTCTAGCATCCTACATAAGCATTTATTCAATTCAATGTTATTTAGGGTACAGCCATTGCTCCTGGTATATAAATGGCTTTTATAGGGGACCGAATTTGTTTTAGAGAAATACTGTAGCAGTAGTTCAAGCATTCCAAGTACATTTTTTAGCAAAGTTTGTACCAGGACAGTAGTACCTTATGGTCTATTTTCAACTAGATTGAAAATTCCATGAGGGCAGAAGGAGTATTTTGCTCTCCATTGTATATTCACTACTGAATCCAACCACCTAGTACAGAGTAGGTCTTCAAAACATATCTGTTTCATTTATTAATACTATTAGCTCTGTTGAGAGAGAGGAGGTACATAAAGCAATACCAATTTCCTGAAAATAAATCAAGTTTTCAGAAGTCTAGATAGAATTAGACATAACTTACCAGAATATTTCACAATATAGAAAGAAATGGGACAGGCTATTGCAAAAAGCAAAAATTCCATTAATTTGTAAACATTTAGTACTTAGGGGTCACTTGATGTCAAAGTGATTTCACCAGAGTCACTGAGATTATGCCAATATTTACTGGGGCTGTATCAAAGTCCAGATTGCCTTCTTTATAACCACATGGAACATTCAAGAACAGACTGTCATTTATCATTCATTCTAGATAGTATTTAATTACATGAATCAAAGTGGGTTCAACTGGTATGAAAACATTTAGCAGCACTCCCTGGAGTAAGGAATCAATTTGTAATAATCATATTGCAAGTTAACTTCAGTATTTGTTTTTTTCAACCATTAGAAAATGATTAACATCTGCTTAGGCTTATAAGATATAGGTATTCTCTGGATAAATAAGTGAACAATTTTTTTTTTTAATCAGAAACATATTTTGAGTAGTCTATCTGTAAGATACATGGTACAACAGCTTCCTCTACAGGTTATTTCAGAGCTTTTTACCCTTAATTCTAAACTTTTTCAGTTGACTCTTTTGAGCTGCCTCCCTTGCTTCTATCAAGCCCAAGGTTGAATTTCTAGAAAAAATGGTTCCAAAACCATTTTAAATCTTATGTAGTTGATCTAATTTCCCTCCCTTTTTTTGCATCGTTATTTTGAATTTTTTTTTAATTTTTAAGTTTTATTCAAATCCAAGTTACTTAACATATAGTGTAGCATTGGTTTCACGAGAATTTAGTGATTCATCACTTGCATATAACACCCAGTGTTCATCCCAACAAGTGTCCTCCTTAATGCCCATCACCGATTTAGCCCATCCCCCACCCAACACTCCTCCAGCAACCTCAGTTTGTTCTCTGTATTTAAGAGTCTCTTATGGTTTGCCTCCCTTTTATTTTTCCTTCCCTTATGCTCATCTGTTTTGTTCCTTAAATTCCTCCTATGAGTGAAATCATATGATATTTATCTTTATTTCACTTAGTACCTAACACCTGTGGATTCTCATGCATTTCGGTACAAACACCAGTTGATTTAATTAAAGCTACTTAACAGGGGCTAATCTGTAGTGTCTGCTTATATCACATGTACTCACATTCCCATAATGCACTGAGTGAAACTTTTTTGGATGAAGTGAGAAATCTGAATCTGGAAGGCCAGAAAAAATATTTCTTTAAATGTTCATCAGAGGTATGCCCTTTGAATATAGGCTCTCACTTTGCATGTTATTGAATGTTCAGCAATATCAACAAAAATGGACTTCTGTATTTTTATAGGGAACATTAAACAAAATTAGCCCTTATGCATTAAACAGAAAAGTTCTTATTGGAGTTATTTTTTGTGGTTCAAAACACGGTAAGTTCTGGGGGGCAGGGGAAGATTCCATTTAATATTTCTAAATATTAAAAATATTATTATTATTTCTAATATTATTAGAAATATTCTTAATATTTCTAAAAGGAATTCTTTTGTAATCCCTTGTATGTGATCTTATAGATACGAGGATATAATCTTGTACTAAATTTAGGAATTTAATACATATGGTTATTTAAATTCCATTTGATTATTTCCAGGAAAAACTCCCCTCCTCAAAAAGATATTCATCATTTCAGTTATCAGTCATGGCTATAATAAAGTTCTCACACATTGAACTAAAATCTGCCACCAGTTTTTCTTAGCTCTACCTTAGGAACAACATAAAAGCCTGGACATCCTACCTCAGGAACAACATAAAACAACTGTGGACATCCTAATGTTATATCCTTCATTATAGGATGGCAGCTTTCCCCTAGATTCTTTCCCCCATGCCCTAATGGTCAGTCTCATTGAATATCATTAATGATTAATGGAAGCTTTCAGCCCTTTGAAACGGTGACAATATCTGACCTTGCAAACTTGTCAATACATTTCAGAAAGTGTACTAGATGTGAAGGTTCTCAGCTGTAACAAGTTCACTGCAAGTGGCTTTTTATACTCCATTGACTGTTTATCAATCCTACTGTCTTGTCCTGGTTTCCAAGAGGATGTGAGATTTGAACATGTAGTTTCTTTCCCACTCTGATTTTGATGGTATTTGTAATAAGGGGGCGACTCAAAGTACTGCTTAGCAATGTCTCTGTCCCCCAGTTCTGACTCTTCCCACTGCAGTAATATACTTTGAACAGTCCACCTGAAAGATATAGGGGGCAACAGCTTCTTCTGCAGGAGGTCTTTGCCATTAAATCTAAAATCCTAAAGAGAACTTTTCAAAAGAAAAAATTTTCCCTAGTCTATATCCATGCACCACCACCTCCACAGCAAACCATAGAAGACCAATTTCTACCCTGGCTTCCTTATGTTCATGCTTTCAAAGCCCTAACTGAGAGGAAAGGGCATGTGGGAGGGTAAATGCATGACAGAAGTTGCCATTGTATCACCTGAGATGGTTTGCTCAATATTTACAGTCCAGGAGAAGTTGCTAACCCTTAACACACTTAAAACTAGGCAGTTTATATACTTCCTACATTTCTTTCCAAAAGATGTATCATTAAATGTTGAAGGTTTCCTAGACTTACTTGCATAAATGAGTCAGGGAAGGACACCATGGACCACTTCCACACATCTACCCTATTGTGTTATGTAGTAGGGATGTTGAGCAAGTGGGTCTTAATCTGTAAAGAACTCTTCTCCTGTGGGAACGAGCTCTTCCCAGCCACTTGAATGGACCTGAGAGTGGGTTCATTTGATTTTTCTGTTCCCTTAAAGAGGTCCCTCTGATCCTTTTGAACCTCAAAACAACTACCTCATAAAAGTCATGGGAAAGGCTGGTTTGTTTAATGGTCAAATATTTGTAAGTTCTTTTGAAGTTGAAACTACTCCCCCCCAGATCAGGACTGTTTCAGTCCTTTTGCCTCTGGTGGCAACAAGAGACATGTACAGTTTCTTCTCTGCTTATTCTCTTCTTCCTCATGCTCACTCAACTGCTTTTACCTCTTCCAAGGTTAACAGAAAAGGGACAAGCTAGCAGGAAAAGCAAGCAGCAGGAACATTAATTCAATGGACAGTTTTGTGAGCTAGTGTTTCCACTAGTTATGGGAAATATTCAAAGTTGACACTTTATGGGTTCGTTGGAAAGCTCTTTGCAACATTTCTGGAATCTCTGACATCCAGCTGGCACCTTAAAACTTCCCCTTGGGCCTCTGACTTTCAAGTTGTCGGACTCCACACAGAGATGTCCCACTGTTGGCAGCACACTGCCCTCTAGACAGGCCACCCCTTCCTCCCCCCAAATTAAGACAACTCCAGGTCAGATTGCTCTCCTGCTTGATCTATAGAAGGTCCACAGACCACAACACAGCTTCCCACTCAAAGCCCTCACCTTTGCTGCCCCAGGCCACTTCACTAGCCCCGCTCACCCTCTAATATGCTCTAGTCTGAATCAGATACCTGCCATTGTACCCCAAACCCCAGGGGTCACTATCAAGGTCTGACTGTTTTCCTTTCTCACCCTCTAATATTCTCTAGTCTGAATCAGATACCTGCCATTGTACCCCAAACCCCAGGGGTCACTATCAAGATCTGACTGTTTTCCTTTAAGCCTCTCTCAGTGCGTGAAGCAAGGGAAGTGCTTTCCACCATTTCTCCAAACCCACCTCACAGGCTAATCTTTTTTTTGGGGGGGAGAAAATTGCCAAATTTCCATTTTCCCCCCTAAGCTGAATTCCTAGCCTTCCCTGATAGAATTTGAAGTGGGTAATGGAGTTATGGTGGCAACACCAAGCCACAAATCTCCTTTAAAGTCCTGCATTAGAGGGGCTAGCTCTTCACTAAGTGTGTATGGGCATATGCTCACCATTTATGTTTTGTTCTTGTTTCTTTCCAGACCGTAGTGAAATGGAGACAAATAAGGGAAGGATTAAAAGTTACATTTTTAGCATTATTATAAAGAAGTGACATAAGAGACTGATTGCCCTATCAGTAAGTTCTGACATTTGACTTCTCTGCTTTCAGTATTAGGGCGTTTGTTCTGCTGTTCATTACAATGCATAGCAGGCCATAAAATTGATCTGTAGGAACCCAGCTAGAAAGGCACCCCAGGGGCGCCTGGGTGGCACAGTCGGTTAAGCATCCGACTTCAGCCAGGTCACGATCTCGCGGTCCGTGAGTTCGAGCCCCGCGTCGGGCTCTGGGCTGATGGCTGCTCAGAGCCTGCAGCCTGTTTCCGATTCTGTGTCTCCCTCTCTCTCTGCCCCTCCCCCGTTCATGCTCTGTCTCGCTCTGTCTCGCTCTGTCCCAAAAATAAAAAAAAATAAAAAAAATAAAAAAAAAAAAAACGTTGAAAGGCACCCCAAAACGAAATTGTATATAGATATTGAGAAAATGCTACCTTCACCATAGATGCATCATGTGGAAGACCGATACATATAACGTTACATTCATTAGAAAGGAAAAGATACCAATTTTTATATTTCTGGTTCCTAGGCCGAGATTATGAGAAGGATAAAGTTTGCAAGGAACTTGCCAATCTAGGAAAAGATGACTTCACATCTTTGTAAGTACGAGGTATTCACTCACTCTCTTGGTTACTTGACCTTGAATGAAACCACATGTGAGAGAACTTCAATTCAGCAGGGAGGGCTGAACCACTCTCTGCACATTGTGAGAACCCAAGACCAATGTGGGCACAGGTGTTAGGCCAGTGGAGGACATCCAAAGAATCCAGTTGGATTATTGTTACTAGAGTCTAAGAATTTGTTAGCAGTAAGGTTATTAAGAGAACAAGCACAGCTTAAGATAAAATAAAATGCAAAGAGTATATACAAGGGCTGTGGCAAACAAAAACAAGACATAGAACAGGATTACTGGGGAGGCTTGAGAAAGGAAAGAATAGAAGACTCCTTGATAAAACCCCCAAATCCAACTTCCATTTTACAAGGAACATTTGCCTAGAACAAAAACTATTTTTTAAAAGTGAACCTCAGGTTCTTTTCACTTATCAATGTATGCAATATTCTGGTTAAAGACTGAACAAATTTCATGTTTTAATATGTGCAAATGTGAAGTTTCTTAAAATTCTAAATATATCAACCTACTGTTTTCCTCAGATCAATGGTCTCATACAGCAGAAAGTTTCCCAGTAGCACATTTGAACAGATCAGTCACCTTGTGAATGAAGTTGTCTCCTTGACAGAAGCCTGCTGTGCTGAAGGGGCTGACCCGGACTGCTATGACCTCAGGGTAGGTTCATGTGGCTGCCCATGTCCTTACGGAGTCACAGAAAGAAGCCAAGATAGGCCTTTATGCTGTATCTTGGGGAAACCTTAGACATCAACTCCACCTACTCCAAGTTTGAGAGAATTACCCCCAGCCCAGACCTATTCTAGTATAATCAATCAGTTTTGCCCATTAGTCCTACAAGGTTCAAATGAAAAGACTGGGATATCTATTAGTTCATGAACCCCTTGAAATAATGCATTCTGTGTACCTTAAAAGCCTACCCATACCTATACATTTATCATGTTAAGACAGGTACAACTGTCCCAGAATAGTTTAGTGTTGGCCTCAAGTTATTTTGGGTTTCAAAAATTGCCTTATATACATACACTAGGTTCTGGGTTTTCTCCCTTTAAGTATAAATGCAGAAGTTAAAATGCTGAACTGACAAGATTCGAAATGTAGACAGGACCCGAAAAAGGTAAAAATACAGGTGTGTCTAGCAATTTACTAACACAGTTATCAGGCCTCATGCAAAGGACATTTAGATGCATCTTGATAGAGGCTTCTACCGACCAAACTCTTTGTTCAAGCCTGCAGAAACCATGCTCCAAAGATCTGATTTGAATATATCCTAAACAGGGGTGCCTGGGAAGCTCAGATGGTTCGTGGGTTCTAGCCCCACATTGGGCTCTATGCTGACAGCTCAGAGCCTGGAGCCTACTTAAGATTCTGGGTCTCTCCTTCGCTCTCCTCTCACCCACTCATGCTCTGCCTCTGTCTCTTTCAAAAGTAAACAAACATAAAAAAAAATTTTTTTTTAATCCTACACAATGATTATTAGTCTTACCTATTAATTGCTTCATTGGGCCCTTGTATATGTTCTAAGAATTTTAAATCAATTTTTCCCCCACTATCAATTCCATAAATACCTATCATTTCAACCAGACCTTCTATACCACTGTAAAATAAACTACCAACCATGATCAATAACAGAACACATTTTTATCTTATTTACATTTTATTTCATGCATTAGTTAACTGACCCCTTGACCTGAGATAAGCCCCAGGATTATAGAGACAGATCACATGAAACAGAGATGGCATTGCCTTTGCCAGGGATGGGAAGCATTTTTAAAACCATGTTGATACTTTCTTTACAAACTTTTTTTGGAAAGGAGATA